CAATAACATTTGTACTCTTTTAAGTATTGTATTATATTTGTTTTTTAGTGGCGTTTTCCAAATACCGAACTTATCCCAGCAAAAAAACACGATTACCACAGAAACGAAAGTGGAAACGAGCTAGGCGATGGGAATTGCTTACCCTTTCGCTGCAAGAAGGCCTTCTTTTAACATGGGCATGCCATTGGCGGTAAGCCCTTACCCGCAGCATTACCTTCAAACGAAGGGAGAACGCATGGATAAACAGTATCCAGAGAAGCGAACAAAGAATGCCGTACAGAGAAACTAATGTAGAATGCCTAGATAAATACATACTTATTTATATTAAGTTGAAATCAGAAAATGTCTTAGAAGACTAAAATTAATTAAAATTTGTATAAATCAGTTTTTATACATACATGGTAATGTATTTAGGTATTTAGATTTTACTTAGAAATCGGTCTGTACATACATGCATATTTAATTAAGCTTAAAATTGTACTTCCTCACTCTTGTACTTCACTTCATTGACTGACTTCAACTTCGTTGCAAATTGAACAAAGCTAAGCGAGACAAATTTCCACTGAAAGTAACGGTAGAAAAAGAATTCTTGGATATTCATTCTATTTTTCAGCTGACTACGATGTAGCATTCTACTTTGCATTCACCAAAATGAAGCAATGAAGCGAAACAAAAAAAAAAAACATTGTAGGACATTCTACTTTGCATTCCCTGAAATGAAGCAAAGAAGCGTAGCAAATAAAATATTGTAGGACATTCTTCTTTGCATTCCCAGAAATGAAGCAAAGAAGCGAAACAAATAAAATATTGAAGGACATTCTACTTTGCATTCCCCGAAATGAAGCAAAGAAGCGAATTAAAAATGAAATAATATAGGACATTCTACTTTGCATTCCCCGAAATGAAACAATGAAGCGAAATAAATTAAATATTGTAGGACATTCTACTTTGCGTTACCGGCAATGCCTAAAAGCGAAAAAATTTGAAGGCATTATATCGCTATGCCTTCTAGAACACGTTACCACTAAAAGCGATTACCGATTTTTTGGGATATAGAACTAAACACTTGTTGCCACTTACCCCAGCACTTTCGTTATAAATAAGTGACAATTTACTTTATTTGAGGCGAACTAACCTTTTGCCTCTGTTGAGCCGCTTTTTATCTGCGGTTACGAATCCATCGTGGCAGTACTTTTTGTCTGTGATTCGAAAACTTGACCGATGGTGCCCTTTTATGTTGCAGATGTTTTAGGTCAGATGCTTCCTGCACAAT